TTCCTGGTCTCTGGTCTTCCCAGGTCTCTGCATGCCCTCCCTCCCTCGCCTGCGCCGCCCTGCATTCCTTGCGTCGAGGGATGGCAGCGCGCCGCTCCTCACTCCTCCTAGTTCTCTCCCACAGAGGCTCCCCTGCAGACTCTCCACCTGGACGTGTGGGGCCCAGCCCGCGTCCGGGGACAGGGCCACGAGCAGTACTTCCTGCTGGTTGTCGACGACTACACGCGTTACACCACGGTCTTCCCCTTGCACCGCAAGGGGGATGTCCCTGATGTTTTGATCCCCTGGATCCGCGCTGCTCGTCCCCAGCTCCGCGAGCGGTTCCAGTCAGACTTTCCTGTCCTGCGTCTGCACTCTGACAGAGGTGGTGAGTTCTCCTCAGACCTCTTGGCGGCCTTCTATGCAGAGCACGGCATCCGCCAGACTTTCACGCTTTCGGCCTCTCCACAGCAGAATGGGGTTGTTGAGCGCCGCATTGGCTTGGTCATGGAGGTCGCTCGTACCTCCATGATCCATGCGGCTGCCCCCCATTTTCTGTGGCCGTTTGCGGTCCGGTACGCCGCGCATCAGCTCTACCTCTGGCCCCGTGTCTCCTTGCCGGAGACCTCGCCCACACTGCTGTGGACGGGGAAGGTTGGCGACGCGTCGCGTTTCCGGGTCTGTGGTGCCCGTGCCTTTGTCCGCGATACCACTGTAGACAAACTCTCCCCTCGCGCCATTCCTTGTGTCTTCCTTGGCTTTGTCCGTGACGCGCCTGGCTGGCAGTTTTACGACCCTACCTCGCGCCGTGTCTTTGCGCCTCAGTATGTCACCTCTGACGAGTGGGTCCCCTTTTACCGCCTCTTCCACTACCGTACTGCTCCTCGCCCCCTCCCACCGCTCTTTCTCGCCCCAGGTCCTCCCCAGGTAGTCCCCCTCCCTGCGCCAGGCCCTGCTCCTTCAGGTGTTTCTCAGGTAGACCCTCCCGTCCCTGCGCCTGTTGAGGTCACTGGTGACTCCGGTTCTGCTGGGAGTGGTGCTGTCCCTGGGGGTGCGGAGCTTGGGGGTGCGCAGCGTGGGGGTGCTGAGTCTGGGGGTGCTGAGCGTGAGGAGCCTGAGGGTGCAGAGCCTGGAGGAGTTGAGCCTGCGCGTGAGGAGCCTGGAGGTCCTGAGACTGGGGGTGCTGCGTCTGGGGGTGCTGCGCCTCCGTGTGCGGAGCCTCGGGGTGCTGGGTCTGGGGGTGAGTCGCCTGAGGGTTCTGAGACTGCTGTTACGCGGTCTCCTTGGAGTAGCCGTCTTTGTGCGCGTGTGCCTCTCACCTCCCAGCAGCTGCACGACTGGTACGGTCGCCGTCAACGTCGCGCCTCTGCACCTTAGGCCTCTACTCCTGGGGGTTCTTCTGCTGGCGTCACTAGAGCTGGGAGTGGTGCTGGTCCTTTGCCTGCTGGAGGTGGTGGTGTCGCTGGTCCCAGAGGTGCTCGTACTGGGGGTACTGGAGCTGCTGGGGCTGGCGGTGGTGTGTCTGAGGGTACTGCTGCTGGTGGCACTACGGTTGGAGACCTTGGGACTGGGGGTGCCGGTTCTGGGGTTGATGCACCAGGAGGGGATGGAGCAGCTGGGGGTGCTGGAGCTGCTGGAGGCATAGGAGCTGCTCAGGGTACTGGAGCTGCTGGAGGCGCTGGAGCTGCTGGAGGTACTGGAGCTGCTGAGGGTGCTGGACCTGTTGGAGGTGCTGGAACTGCTGAGGGTGCTGGAGCTGCTGGAGGTGCAGGAGCTGCTGAGGGTGCTAGAGCTGCTGGTGCTGGTGGCACTGCACAGCCACGCCTGTTCTTTGCTCCGCCGTCTCCGTCGTCTTTGCCACCGCCTGACTCTGTGCTTCGCCAGGTTCTTAGCCTCCCGTCGTCTACTGGTCTTCCTTTACAGCCTGGCTCACCTCTGCCTGCTCCTTCTCCTTACGCTGAGCAGACAGGGGGCATTACTGAGCGTCGTGAGCCTGCGTTGCGTCCTGTCTCACCTGTTCGTTCTGGTCGTTCCAGACGTCGTGTTCCTCGTCAGCGTCAGCCGGCTGTCCCCGGCCCTTCCCTTGTAGCCCGTCGTCCTTCCTCTCCTCCACAAAGTGTTCCTCTGCCGTCTCCTCTAGCGTCTTCTCTGCCTGTCGTTGGGGACCCTGAGTCTGACCAGTTTTGTACTGAGCACCCTACTGTCACGCGTCTGCTAGCCACTGCTATCACTGATTTGTCGTTTGGGTCCACTGCTGCGTCTGCCTTTGTCGCTGAGCTGGTTGACTTTGCTGCTGCCTATCGTCTAGACTACGCTGCTAGTCTTATTGCTGAGTCTGAGTCTGTCTGTCCTCCATCCGTCGGGGGTGAGTGTGCCCTTAGCACGAACGTCCTTGAGGACAGACACGAGGACCTTGAGTGTCTTGCGGCCGCTGCGCCTCATCTCGTGGTCATGCTGCTTGCCCCTGAGGGAGACCCGGATGCACCAGACATCCCCACCTCGCGCTCTTACGGTGAGGCGATCGTGGGTGAGTACTCCTCTTAGTGGCAGACAGCCATGGACGCAAAGATGGCATCCTGGAAGTCTACAGGCACCTACGTCGACGAGGTTCCCCCTCCTGGGGCGAACACCGTCAGTGGCATGTGGATCTTCATGGTGAAGCGGCCGCCAGGTTCTCCGCCTGTCTTGAAGGCTCGTTACGTTGCTCGAGGTTTCAGTCAGCGAGAGGGAGTTGACTTCTTCCAGACTTTCTCCCCCACCCCGAAGATGACCACTCTTTGGGTGCTGCTGCACGTTGCCGCTCAGCGTGACTATGAGCTTCACTCTCTTGAATTCAGCACAACTTTCTTACAGGGCAGCCTGAATGAGGAGATCTGGCTGCGCCGCCCACCCGGCTTCACTGGGCCGTTCCCTTTTGGTACCCAGTGGAGCCTCCAGCGGCCGGTCTACGGTCTCCACCAGGTGCCACGTGAGTGGCACGACACACTGAGGATGACACTTGCGGCTCTTAGGTTTGCTCCTTCGACTGCTGACCCGTTGCTGTTTCTGCACACCAACACTTCACTGCCGCCGTTCTACATCCTTGTGTACGTCGACGACTTGGTCTTTGCCACTGCCGACACTGAGGCTCTCGCCCTGGTGAAGTCGGAGCTGTAGAAGAGACACACGTGCACAGACCTGGGTGAGTTGCGCAGCTACCTTGGCTTGCAGATCACCCGGGACAGAGCACGCCGCACCATCACACTGACTCAGTCACACATGGTGCAGCAGGTCCTTCAGCGCTTCGACTTCACCTCGTCCTCAACACAGCACACTCCTCTGGCTACAGGTCACGTGCTCTCAGCTCCACCTTCGGACGAGTCCGTAGAGCCGGGTGGTCCTTACCCAGAGCTAGTGGGCTGCCTCATGTACCTGATGACCTGCACTCGACCTGACCTTGCGTACCCTCTTGGCCTTCTAGCTCGCTACGTGGCTCCTGGTCGGCACCGAAAGGTGCACATGGATGCTGCTAACAGGGTACTGCGCTACTTGTGCAGTACATCGGGCATGGGGCTCGTGCTTGGAGGGCGGAGTCCATTTGTCCTCACTGGGCACTCAGACGCTTCTTGGGTTGACGACCAGGCTACACAGCAGTCGTCATAGGGTTACACATTCAGCCTTGGCTCCGGCTCTGTTTCTTGGCGGTCTACACGCTCGTCTTCTGTTCTAAGCTCCAGTTGTGAGGCTGAGATCTACGCCACTGCCATGGCTGCACAGGAGTTACGCTGGCTCACCTACCTGCTGACCGACCTGGGAGAGCGGCCTCGTTCTCCTCCAGTTCTGTACGTAGACAACAAGGCCGCCATTGCCTTCCTAGCTCGAGAGTTGCAGCAGCGGGGTCAGCTTCGCCTTGCTTACGTGGCCACTCGGGCCAACACTACTGATATATTCACCAAGGCACTTCCGTCTGGTGACCATCAGCGCTTTTGTACTTTGTTGGGCCTTGTGCCTACGTTTCCACACTTGCTGTAGTCTCTGTTTGTACTGTGATCTATATATATAGGTACCTCCATGCTTGTTCTTGCTAGCTTGCGATCACTGTGATGTTCTTGTTGCTTATATACCTCTGCATGTGGACTGGCCTTGTGGCCGTTTGCTTGTGCTCAGTGTGTGTGGTGACGTTGTGATCCACCATGAGCTGTGTTTTGTTTCTTCTCTTGACTGGTCTTGTGACTGTTGCTTTCTCTGGCTATCCCCCATTTCGCCTATGGGGGTGTGTCAAAATATATGCATATCATTATCTAGGCTATATTGGGGATAGTCTTACGGGGTACACAAACTTTCTCGATACCCTAGTCTTGTACCCAAACTTTTACCTAATCTACTCATTCTTGCCTTAGTTCTTAACATAATGGCGCCCCTGCAGGCTTGGCTTCCCCCCATTGGCAAAAGCAACATATAATGCAAACAGAGATATGGCTCTATGGCACTTTCATATCCAGCAGATTCTCCTGTACGTTATCAGAATCTTTAGAAACGATTCTCCAGTACCGTAGAAGACTCGGCAGTTTGAGAAATGTTGATAAATAATTAGGCTAATTGGAGGCAGGGTTTCCGTTACACTACAGAGGACTGTGCTGCAGCCTGCAGTGCAGCATAACAACATATGTGCTCACCAGGCAGCATAATCTAACTTGATCCCCACCGGGCCACGTTCCCTCCAGCCATTGAGCCAGCAATTTGGGTCTGTCTGAGCCAGCACAAAAACCGCCCTCTTCACCGCATAGCACTGCACTTTATCACAACAGAATCACCACAGCCACAACCAGCAGCAGAACCAAACCCGCTCCCCTTCTCCCCCCCACCCCTTTGACCGGCCGATCAAAGTCGACCCTCCCTTTCAGCTGGCTGCCATACTCGCTGTAATTGGCTCCCTTGAGCCAGCACTTGAGCCGCCTGGGGTCCGACTGAGCCAGCACACACTTATCATTCTTCTTCCACCGCTGCACCCTAAACCACCCTCTGCACCGCACCGTACCGCATCACAACAACACCGCCGCAGCTACAACCAGCAGCAGAACCAAACCCGCTCCCCTTCTCCCCTCCACCCCTTTGACCGGCCGATCAAAGTTGATCCTCCCTTTCTGCTGGCTGCCATACTCGCTGTAATTCGCTCCCTTGAGCCAGCACTTGAGCCGCCTGGGGTCCGACTGAGCCAGCACACACCTGTCGTTCTTCTGACAGCGCTCCACACACGCTGCCGAGTCCAGCCCCTCCCCCCCCCCCACCTCCGGGCCCGTGTAATCCAAGTCCTTGTCCTTGAACCGAAACCCGTACTCTGGGTTGTGTGAGAGGAGGAAATGAGAAACAGGGGGAAAGGGAGGGAGGAAAAGGAGAAAGGGGAGAGGGAGGGAGGGAGGCGGGAGGGGAATAAGGGAAAGCTGCTTCACAATCCACAAGCACGCCTCTCTCCACCGCACCGCACCGCTCACTTGAGCCGCTTGGGGTCCGACTGAGCCAGCACACACCTGTCGTTCTTCTGACAGCGCTCCACACACGCTGCCGAGTCCAGCCCCTCGCCCCCCCCCACCTCCGGGCCCGTGTAATCCAAGTCCTTGTCCTTGAACCGAAACCCGTGTGGGGAGGAAAGAGGGGAGGGAGATTGGGGTGATGGGGGCCTGTGTAATCCAAGTCCTTGTCCTTGAACCGAAACCCGTACTCTGGGTTGGGGGGAGGGAGGGGAGGGGGAATGTCAGGGAGACGGGGAAGCGGGGAAATGGGGAAACGGGGAATGGGAATGGGAGGGTGAACGGGGTGATGGGGACCCGTGTAATCCGTGTCTTTTTTCTCGAACCGAAACCCAAACTCTGGGTTGGGGGAAGGAGGCGCAGAGAGAAGTTGGGGAAAGGAGGGAGGAAATGGGGACAGGGGAGAGGAGGGAGGAAATGGGGACAGGGGAGAGGAGGGAGGAAATGGGGACAGGGGAGAGGAGGGAGGAAATGGGGACAGGGGAGAGGAGGGAGGAAATGGGGACAGGGGAGAGGAGTGGGGAGGCGGGAGGGGGGATGAGGGAAGGGGGAAAGGCGGAATGCAGCTGAGATCTTCTTTTGGCTGAGATGTTCTCCAGCTGCACACACGCAGCTGAGATCTTCTTTTGGCTGAGATGTTCTCCAGCTGCACACACGCACCTGAGATCTTCTTTTGGCTGAGATGTTCTCCAGCTGCACACACGCACCTGAGATCTTCTTTTGGCTGAGATGTTCTCCAGCTGCACACACGCACCTGAGATCTTCTTTTGGCTGAGATGTTCTCCAGCTGCACACACGCACCTGAGATCTTCTTTTGGCTGAGATGTTCTCCAGCTGCACACACGCACCTGAGATCTTCTTTTGGCTGAGATGTTCTCCAGCTGCACACACGCAGCTGAGATCTTCTTTTGGCTGAGATGTTCTCCAGCTGCACACACGCAGCTGAGATCTTCTCCACATCGCAATTTCCCACAAAAGCCAGGAACCCAAGGGGAGTGCTAAAGGTCTATCAATTCCCCTATTTTTGAGGCGCCTAAAAATAGTTTTCCACAAAAGCTAGGAACCAAAGAGGAGTGCCAAGATTTACCCATTCCCACACCCACCTTAAGGGTCGATGCATGTGTTGGGTTGGCCCTGCTGGCACAGCTGCTGCCCACACCCCCCCGTTCTCCACAGCAACACAGCAAGGGAGGCTCCTGCTACCCCCCCGCACATACCTCCCTCCCTTCACCCACCTTTAGGGTCGATGCATGTGTTGGGTTGGCCCTGCTGGCACAGCTGCTGCCCACACCCCCCGTTGTCCACTGCACACTTCTTGACAAACGCCAGGTATCCCGGCGATGGGCTCACTGCTGTGCCATACTCCTTCTTGAGCACACACCGCTGCACGCACACCGGCACGGAACAAGATGAGAGGGAAAGGATTGGACTCGCAGGGACTCTCAAACGCCAGGTATCCCGGCGCGTTGCTTAGTGCTGTGCCATACTCCTTCTTGAGCACACACCGCTGCACGCACACCGGCACATTAAATTCACAAGGCAAAGCAACGGCTGAGAACTTTCAAAGGCGATTCCAATCGTCCACTGCCGTGCCATACTCCTTCTTGAGCACACAGCGCTGCACACGGAGCAACGTCAAAAGTGGGCTTGCAACAAGGTCAAAAGCTACTCCTCAGTCCACTGCCCTGCCGTGCCGTACTCCTTCGTGAGCACACACCGCTGCAAAGGCCCATGCACACACACACAGACAGACAGCAGCATTGAGTTCACAAGGCAAAGCAACGGTTGGAAACTCTCAAACGCCAGGAACCCAGGCATCGTGCTCACTGCTGTGGCGTACCCCTTCTTGAGCACACACCGCTGCATCCACGCATGCACAGCAACGAAGAAAGGGTTGATTGGATGGATGGTGGATTGAACTCGCACCAAGGTCAAAATCGAGTCCTCCTGTATGCCCGGCAGCACGTATTGTGCCGTGACGCACGGCCCGGGGTAGGCCTGGCAGCACACATGCTCTCACTCCTTCAGCACACATGCTCTCACTCCTTCAGCACACATGCTCTCACTCCTTCAGCACACATGCTCTCACTCCTTCAGCACACATGCTCTCACTCCTTCAGCACACATGCTCTCACTCCTTCAGCACACATGCTCTCACTCCTTCAGCACACATGCTCTCACTCCTTCAGCACACATACTCTCACTCCTTCAGCACACATGCTCTCACTCCTTCAGCACACATGCTCTCACTCCTTCAGCACACATGCTCTCACTCCTTCAGCACACATGCTCTCACTCCTTCAGCACACATGCTCTCACTCCTTCAGCACACATGCTCTCACTCCGTCAGCAAACACACCCATTCACGCACCTGTAAGCCCGGCAGCACGTATTGTGCTGTGATGCACGGCCTGGGGTAGGCCTGGCAGTGGTGCACACATGCTCTCAGAGGCTCTACACAAGCACGCACGCACACACACATCTGCACGCCCCGCGCACCTGCATGCCCCGCGCACCTGCATGCCCCGCGCACCTGCATGCCCCGCGCACCTGCATGCCGGGCACGTATTGCGCTGTGACGCACGGCCCTGGGTAGGTCTGGCAGCGCCTGACGCACTCAGTGGCGTCGATGTCCATGATGATGGCGTCATCGGGAACCAGCTCGCCTGTGAGATCCCACGAGGAGTTGGCGGGGGAGATGAACCCCATGGCTGGTTCAACGGGAGGGGTGGGGTGGGGTGCAGTGCGGTGGAGGGTGGTTAAGGGTGATGGCATCGTCAGGCACTAGCTCGCCCGTGAGATCCCACGAGGAGTTGGTGGGGGAGATGAACCCCATAGCTGCAAGGCGGGGAGGGGTGTGGGGTTCGGTGGAGAGCGGTGGAGGGTGGTTAAGCACACACGGCAGCGCCTGACACACTCAATGGCGTTGATGTCTGTGATGATGGCGTCGTCAGGCACCAGCTCCCCCGTGAGCTCCCCCGTGAGCTCCCCCGTGAGCTCCCGCGTGAGCTCCCCCGTGAGCTCCCCCGTGAGCTCCCCCGACGAGTTGGTGGGGGAGATGAACCCCACGGCTGCACAATGGAAGGGAGTGCAGTGCGGTGGGCAGTGGTACAGTGGGGTGGGTGGTGATTATTGCGTCGTCAGGCACCAGCTCGCCTGAGAGCTCCCATGAGGAGTTGGTGGGGGAGATGAACCCCATGGCTGGGTAGGAGGGAAAGGGCGGTGAAGCGCAGAGGGAAGAGGCGGGGGAAAGGGGGAGGGAAGGGGGGAGGGAAGGGACAGGGGGAAGGGACAGGGGGAAGGAATTAGGGAAGGTGCGGGAAGGAAAGAGGGAAGGGGCAGGGGAAAGGGGGAGGAAATTGGGGAGGAAATTGGGGCCAACTTGGTGGGCGAGCTGTCGAAGTTGAACAGGTGGGCTGCGGAGGCCTTATTTCCATCAACTCTTGCTGTTTAGGGCAGGGGAAAGGGGGAGGAAATTGGGGCCAACTTGGTGGGCGATGCGGGGACGAGGAGACGAGCGTCTTACAGGTCGAGTCGCTGCATCGGAAGCTGGCTCGCGGCGCGTTCGGGTCCGAGAAATCCGTCGGGCACGGCGCGCAGAGCGCCGCGCTGCCATTGGTCGACGTCGACGTGTTGACACACGACGACGAGAAGCACGGCAGCGCGTACGCAGTGAAGCCCGGGCTGCGCGCCGGCTGGCGATTAACGGCGGATTTCAACGCGCACCCGCCCGCGTCGTCAACGACGGCTAGGAGGCACTGCTCGCGGTCGTAGTTTAAGCACCGCCGCTGGCACTCCTCCGCAATGATTGGTCCGTCTATGTACTCTAAGTCGTTCCCCGGATAATCGTACTTTGTCGAAAGCTCTGCGAGGCCGTACGGATTGGAGCCTAGAACTTCGCAGGTCTGCGCCGCGGCGCGCGGGAGGAACGGCGCGTGGCAGTAGATTATAGCGAGGATGACAAGGAGGAGTAATTTAGGGGATACTGCGTGGATCCCTGAAAGGCGGCGATAGGAGCGAGGTCGGCGAATGGAGGTGGGAGGGGAGGGAGAGGAGTGATGGGGGGAAGGGGCTGAGTAGCCTAGACGACTGTCAGAATAAACAAGGCCATGTTGCGAAATCCCTAGGGAGTGACTTTGTTGGAAACTAGTTCGTTGATACGGAAAATTATGGCTATTAGGGAATGGCGGAACACGATGCTGCATTGAGCTCTCTGCGCGACGTGAAGCCATGGCGTAGTAGTTGAAAGGTTGTGATAGTTGGACAGTAATAGATTGTAAGGAGGGAACACCGCGAAGGGAGAGCGCAGGTATCGAGCGCGGGTACGGACGGTGCTTGTTCTAAATGAAAATAAAAAAAGCGCGGCTTGGTAAGGGCCACTATTTATCCGCCAGAACGTGAGGCTCCCTGTGTGCCGCTCTCATACTGCCACTAACTCGAGGTGGTGTAATTATTAGTGTAAAGCGCAATTATGGACGCTCACGATAAAACGAGCACAACTGTTGTGCGAGAAACGCGGTCAAAAGGGAAGGGACTGATTCGGGTAGGCCTGGAACACGGTGCACTATGCTCGGTTCGCACAGACAGTTTGAAACTCACACTGGTTACAATCGTTTATCTTGGAAGCGTTTCGCCACTCATTTATTTCCAGGCACGAGGTTCGGGAGAGTTGGCATGGTCAGACTTGACGGGAGGTCACAACTAGCTGTTCCCATGTTCTCCTTTACATAAGCTTCAGTCATTAGAGAAACGTTAGCATTTTCGCAGGAACGATATTTTAGCAAAAGCTGTCACACTTCCGAAGCGGAGAGCTTAGGTGGACCAGTTGCGATTTCGGTGCTTCGGCCCACCGCTCGAGCCAGCCGCGCTTTTCGGTTCCCGCGTCGCTACTCGGCGCGACAGGTTCGTCACGTGTGTCAGAGCACAGCTTCCTGACGACGGGGTGCGACGTGTGACGATGGCCCGTAACACTGTCGCAACCGTTCGATCTTGTCATGGCATTTTTTGGTTTGTAGTTCTGTAACCCCTCGAATCGAGGTGGAAACCGAGCAGTACAGCCAATCACCCCGTGCCTGTTTACTCTTCAAAACATCAGCATTACACCCTAATCGCTAAACCCTAGGGTATTTCTGAATAAGCACCTTCGGATTTTTTTTCAGAGGCTTGGCGTCTCGTTTCTTAGGGAGCTCCAAACTAGGTGGTTCCACGATCATCGTACCACCTGTATCCCAGTTAGGCTGTAGCCTCCCCCTCGTCGCTCTTCACTTCGACCCTCTAAAAGAACGCTAGAGTGGTAACCACAAGCGGAATCGGGAACGCTACGAATAGTTCGCCAAGTCTGTTTAGAAGCGACACGGATAGTCCATTAGAGTTCGAATCAGAAGCGAAGCGATCGATCTGACCGCAGCCATGGCTGCGGAAGGATCGTCGATGGCTGCTGTAGAGGCGGCGGCGGAAGGAGCGGCCGCGGGCGGAGCGGCGGGCGGAGCGGCGGAAGCGGGGGTGATATTCGTCCTGGAGAAGGCGTCGCTCGAAGTCGCCAAAGTCGGAAAGGTGTCTCCGCGCTTCCTAATTTCCTCTCCTTGAACCCCCGCTCGTTAAACCCCCTCCCCTCTCCGCCGGACTCGCTCCGTCGTCAACTGCGACGACCACGTCAACGGTCTCTCCCCCCCTTTCCCCGCCCCTCCCCCCATTTCGCTTCCTTCCCTTCCTCTTCCCCTTCACCCTCCCCCTGCCCCCATCCCCCGCCCCCAGACGCACGTGCTGGTTTTTGAGAATTCTCAAAAACCAGCTCGGCTCAAAAGTCCCATCCCCCGCCCCCAGACGTACGTGCTGCTCAACTGCGACGATCACGCCAGCTTCCTCTTCCTCCTCAGTTACTTGTTCGCCAAAACTCGCCAAAACTCCAACCTCCATCTCCCCCCCCCCCCCCTCCAACCTCCCCCACCCCCCAAGACATACGTGCTGCTGAATTGCGACGACCACGCCAGCTTCCTGCGCCTCTCCATTCGCCAAAACCCCGAACCCTCACCCCTGCTCCCCCCTGCCCCCTTTCCGCCGCCCCATCTAACCCACCCCCCAGACGTACGTGCTGCTGAACTGCGACGACCACGCCAGCTTCCTGCGCAAGCACGGCAAGGACCCCGCGCTCTACCGCCCTGACATCTGCCACCAGGTGCAAGTTGGGGCGAGGGGGTGGGAGGAGTTTAGGAGAGGCGAGTAGGTGCGAGTAGGTGCGGGGAGGCGCGAGGAGGTTTATCTAGGTGGGACTATAGCAGAGTTATGGTGGCGGATCAGTCATGCAGCAGCTTCCTGTGCAAGCACGGCAAGGACCCCGCTCGCTCTACCGCCCTAACATCTGCCACAAGGTGGGTGCGAGTGGGTTCAGGTAGGTGTATCGTGGTGGAAAGGAGGTGTGACAAGCATGGCAGGAACCCCGCTCTCTACCGCCCTGACATCTGCCACCAGGTGGGTGCGGGTAGGTTTGACTGGATGCGAGTAGGTGTGTCGTGGGGAAGAAGCGTGGTAGTTGTGGCAAGCAAGGCAAGGACCCTGAGCACTACAGGCCAGACATCTGCCACCAGGTGCGTGCAAGTAGGTTCAGGTAGGTTCAGGTAGGTGTGTCGTGGTGGAAAGGAGGTGTGGCAAGCACGGCAAGGACCCTGAGCTCTACCTCCCTGACATCTGCCACCAGGTGCGACGTGGTGGGAGGAGGTGCGAGTAGGTGCGAGTAGGTGCGAGTAGGTGCGAGTAGGTTTGTCCAGGTGCGAGCAGGTGTGTCGTGGAGCAGTGGTGTGGCAAGGACCCCACGCTCTACCGCCTGACATCTGCCCGCCCTGTCTAACCCACGCTCTACCGCCTGACATCTGCCCGCCCTGTCTAACCCACGCTCTACTGCAGAGGGCATTGAAGACCCTTCTCCCCCGCCCCGTCCCTTCCCCATCTACGCATCCCCCTCCCCTCCCCTCCCCCCGCCCTCCCGCCCTCGCCGACCCTAGAGGCGCTACGTCGATTTTTGAGTCAACTCAAAAGTTGAGGAATAAAGCAGGGCGGCTCAAGGCCCAATATGTGGTCACCACTCGCAACACGCTCACCCAAGTCAACCCCTCCCCCAGCTTCCCTTCCCCCTTGCCCCCCCACCCCTTCCCCTTGAACGTGTGTCTACCCCCCCTCCCCCCAACAGGCGCTACCAGCCATTCCGGACAGCCCACATCCACATCCACATGCACATGCACATGCACATGCACATCCACATGCACATGCACATCCACATGCACATGCACATGCACATGCACATGCACATGCACATCCACATGCACATGCACATCCACATGCACATCCACATGCACATGCACATCCACATGCACATCCACATTCACATGCACATGCACATGCACATGCACATCCACACGCACATCCACATGCACATGCACATCCACATGCACATGCACATCCACATGCACATCCACATTCACATGCACATCCACATGCACATGCACATGCACATGCACATGCACATGCACATCCACATGCACATGCACATGCACATGCACATCCACATGCACATCCACATGCACATGCACATGCACATGCACATCCACATGCACAGCCACATCCACATGCACATGCACATGCACATGCACATCCACATGCACAGCCACATCCACATGCACATGCACATCAACCTTCAATCGACCTGACCGCCCTCGCCTTGAACGCATGTCTAACCCCCCAGTCCTCCCCACCCCCCACCAATCCCCACCACCCACAGGCGCTACTAGCCATACTAGACAGCCTGCTCAATAAAGCTGGAAGGCTCAAGGCTCTCTACGTGGCGACCACGCGCAACACACTCGTCCAAGTCAACCCGCACATTCCCATCCCCCTACTCTGATGCCCCTTCTCCCCACACTTGTCAGGCGCTACTTGCCGTACTAGACAGCCCGCTGAATGAAGCAGGAAGGCTCAAGGCCCTTTATGTGGCGACCACGCGCAACACGATCATCCAAGTCAACACCCCCTCCCCCCCCCCGTACCCCCCCTCCTTTGAATGCTTGTCCATCCCCTCCTTTGAATGCCTGTCCATCCCCTCCTTTGAATGCTTGTCCATCCCCTCCTTTGAATGCTTGTCCATCCCCTCCTTTGAATGCTTGTCCATCCCCTCCTTTGAATGCCTGTCCATCCCCTCCTTTGAATGCCTGTCCATCCCCTCCTTTGAATGCCTGTCCATCCCCTCCTTTGAATGCCTGTCCATCCCCTCCTTTGAATGCCTGTCCATCCCCTCCTTTGAATGCCTGTCCATCCCCTCCTTTGAATGCCTGTCCATCCCCTCCTTTGAATGCCTGTCCATCCCCTCCTTTGAATGCCTGTCCATCCCCTCCTTTGAATGCCTGTCCATCCCCTCCTTTGAATGCCTGTCCATCCCCTCCTTTGAATGCCTGTCCATCCCCTCCTTTGAATGCCTGTCCATCCCCTCCTTTGAATGCCTGTCCATCCCCTCCTTTGAATGCTTGTCCATCCCCTCCTTTGAATGCCTGTCCATCCCCTCCTTTGAATGCCTGTCCATCCCCTCCTTTGAATGCCTGTCCATCCCCTCCTTTGAATGCCTGTCCATCCCCTCCTTTGAATGCCTGTCCATCCCCTCCTTTGAATGCCTGTCCATCCCCTCCTTTGAATGCTTGTCCATCCCCTCCTTTGAATGCCTGTCCATCCCCTCCTTTGAATGCCTGTCCATCCCCTCCTTTGAATGCCTGTCCATCCCCTCCTTTGAATGCCTGTCCATCCCCTCCTTTGAATGCCTGTCCATCCCCTCCTTTGAATGCCTGTCCATCCCCTCCTTTGAATGCCTGTCCATCCCCTCCTTTGAATGCCTGTCCATCCCCTCCTTTGAATGCTTGTCCATCCCCTCCTTTGAATGCCTGTCCATCCCCTCCTTTGAATGCCTGTCCATCCCCTCCTTTGAATGCTTGTCCATCCCCTCCTTTGAATGCCTGTCCATCCCCTCCTTTGAATGCCTGTCCATCCCCTCCTTTGAATGCCTGTCCATCCCCTCCTTTGAATGCCTGTCAATCCCCTCCACTCCCCTCAACCCACAGGCGCTATTAGCGATACTAGACAGCCCGTTGAATAAAGCTGGAAGGCTCAAGGCTCTCTACGTGGCGACCACGCGCAACACACTCGTCCAAGTCAACCCGCACATCCGCATTCCCCGCACGTTCCGCCGCTTCTGTGGCCTCATGGGTGCGTTAAGCGGGGGGAGAGGGAAGGGGGAGAGGGATGGGTGGGTGTGTGGTTGGGTGGGAGCGGGGAAAGGTGGGGTGTGTGCATGGGCTGTCCGTGGGTGGGGGAGTGGGTGGGCGGCAGGGGATATTTGAAGAGCCTGAAACAACTTTTGAGGCGCCTCAAAAGTCGCCTCAGTTCACGCGGATTTTTTTGGGCGCCTCAAAAGCGGCGGCCGGGGAGGGGAGATATGAAGAGTCCGAAACACCGACCAACCCTGGCATTCTTCGTGAAATGAGGGAGTTTTGACCCCCCTTTTAAAAAAAAACTCCCCCATTTCAGTCCGCGGGTGCATGAGTGGGAAAGCGGCCGGGGATGTATGGTGAGGCTGAAACACCATCCCCCACATCGTGTTTTGAGTCGACTCAAAACAAACACACCCGGGTGCATGAGTGGGAGAGGGCGGCCGGGGATGTATGCTGAGCCCGAAACGCCAACCCGCACATCCGCATCCCCCGCACCGCACCTTCCGCCGCTTCTGCGGCCTCATGGGTGGTTTGGTTGCGAGGAGGCGGGTGAAGGTTTGGTGAGTGGATTGGGGATTGGATTGGCGGGCAGGGTCAACAGCATTGGTTGGAGGGGCTTTGAGCCGACCCAAAACTCACCAAGGCAACCCCCACATTCGCATCCCGTGCTTGTTCCGCCTCTTCTCTGGCCTCAAAGGTGGGTTGAGTGGGGAGAGGGGAGATGGGTTGGGGAGTGGGAGGGCGGCCCCAGGCAGTCTCTATATCTGAGGCGTTTTGAACTGACCCAAAACTCACCAAAACTCACCAAAACTCACCAAAACTCACCAAAACTCACCAAAACTCTATATCTGAGGCAACCCCCACATTCGCATCCCTCCCAGGCTCCCACGTTCCGACTCTTCTCTGGCCTCAAGGGTGGGTTGTGGCAAGGGCGAGGGTCGGGTGGAGGGGGATTGGGAGTTTGAGTGGACTTTCAATGTGTGAACACGTTTTGCACAAAATGTGTGGGCATGTGATTGTAAGAACTCTCCTTTCCCCTACCCTCTTTCCTCCCTCCGTAATCCCTCTATCCTGCTCACTTCTCACGTTCTCCCCCCTTTCACTTACTCTTCTCTCTTTCTCCCCCACCCCCCACCCACTTCCCTCCGCTACCAACTGTCCAGCTGCTACAGAAGCTATCCATACGCGCTATAAACAGACCTTCCAGGACATGAATAGCTTTCTTCCTCCTCGCCTCCTCGCTTGCACTGGTCTCCCACCCCTTTTCTTTTCCGGCCCTCGCTTTCTCCTTCCGTCCTTGCTTCCTCCCTTTCCCTCCGCTCCCAACAGTTCAGCTGCTGCAGAAGCTATCCATACGCGCTACAAACGGACCTGATAAGCTGCTCAAAGTCATCAAGCACCCAGTCACCAAGTACCTGCCGCCTGGGTGCCGAAGAATAGGTGAGCTTGGATAGCAGAAACCCACTACCACTGTAAACCACTGCTCTCTAACTCGCACCCCGCCACAAACCGCCCACCATTGGTAAGCTCCTCAAGGTGATCAAGGACCCCGTCACCAAGTATTTGCCTCCGGGCTGCCGGAGAATAGGTGAGCTTCTGGTTGCGTTGCGCCATTCCCACTGTACGTACATCTCTTGCTTCACAAGGTGATCAAAGCACCCCGCCACTAGCTGACTTTTGAGTCAGCTCTCCTTCCCCCCCCCCCCCCCCCCCCGCGTCAGCACTACAGCGCACAGAAGGTGTGTTGGCGCAGGCCAAATCGTTTGTCTTGTTGTGTTTCCCCTCCTGACCTCTGCTCCTCCCATACCCCCCCCCCCCCCCCCACCCCCCCCCCCCCCCCCCCCCCCCCGCCCCGCATCAGGCTTGGAGTATAGCGCACAGAAGGTGGTGCATCTGCGTCAATTCTTGAAGACAACCAACTCGGAAACACTAGTCTTTGTGGTGAGCTGCAACCATAAACGCTATTGCTCATACACTTGATGCTCTGTGATCCCCCCCCCCCCCAAACAGCTTATTCCCCTACCCCTTCCCCCACCCCGCCCTCCTGTTTTTCCTGAAGTTATTCTGTGCTTGCAATTTTATCGCAGATTAAATTTGTGTGCCATAGTATGTTTCTGGTATGCTTCTCCTTGCCCGACCCTACCCCTTCTTCCTACTTTGTGGTATAACAGGTGGGGGCGATGGCTAGTGGGGATATCAGCAGTGACTATGTGGACGAGATGATTGCAGGTGGGTTGAGAGGGGTGGGGGAGGGAACAAGTGGGGGTTGGCATCTAAAGTGAGTGAGTGAGTGGTGCTGGCTAGTGGGGACATCAGCAGTGACTATGTGGACGAGATGATTGCTGGTGAGTGGAGGGGGGTGGGGAAGGGGAGGCTGGGGTATAGGGGCGGAGGGGGAAGGCATGGATGGATGGTGAGCGGTGTTGGCGTGGTGACTATGTGGACGAAATGATTGCAGGTGAGTAAAGGGGGGAAGGGGGAGGAGGCGAGGGGGGTTAGAGGGGGAGGGCGGGGAGGGGGAATGCATGGATGGATGCTGACCGTGTAGCGATGGCGAGCGGTGACATCAGCAGTGACTAAGGGCGTGTAACATTTTCTATTTGCTTCGTCCGGACGGCCAACTGTCCGGACGATTTTGTGGTTACTATGGTCGTTTAAACTCGCCAGGTAGCTCGTCAAAAATTGAACGACGTCGTTTGCGTCGCAGAAAACCCGTGCGATGTCGCCAGCTTCGCAAACGTCTGGACGTACGTCACACAACGTCCGAACGTTTTTGCTGTTTGAAAAATGTCACACGCCCTTAGTGGACGAGATGATTGCAGGTGAGCAGAGGAGACAGGGGAGGGGGAAGTGGCAGCATCATTAGAAAGGTGTTCAAAGGGGAGGGGGGGGGAAGAGGGGTGTGTGTGATGGCTAGTGGTGACATCAGCAATGACTATGGGACGAAATGATTGCTGTTGAGTTGGTGTGGTAAAGAATGGCATGGGATTGCACGGATGTTGATGCATATAGCCTTATCTTCTCTATTGCGTCTCGTGCACTGCTTCTTCCCGTCTCTTTCCCTTCATCGTCTGCTGCCCTGGTTCTGTTCCCCTCTCTCTTTTTTTTTTGGGTTGCGAAGCAACCCTTTACGATCGATTTTGCCAGATTTTATTTTCATGTTTATCATTTTTAATAGAACATGAAAATAAAATCCGTAAACTACAGTACCCTTCCCACACCGTGTGCATGTTGAAGAATTTTAAATGTTGTTCACAATATATTAAACCATATGTTTTTCTGGTCAGTGGTTTGGTGAATATATGCTGTACTGTTATATATTAGTATGTGTTACTATTAAATGGTGCTGTGGTAATGATAAATAGATGCATGATGCATAAATAATGCTATATGATGCATTATGTTTAATAGTATGATGTCATGAATCATGATGCACATGCATGCACACAATAAAATGCGTGACAGTTAACGACCCAAAAACTAAGCTACCGCCATCCCCTGCCTAGCATGGGGGAGAGGTCAATAGCATAGATTTTGAATAATCAACAATCACATGAAACAACACAATCTGTGAAATCTAAAAAAGAAGTCAACTCTATCAAATCCAGTTCGAAGTGGTCGCACACGAGTCACTGAGTGCGCCAATGAACCTTATGTGAAATGATGGACCTGAGCTTTCTTTTTAAAAATCACAGACATGCATTGTTATTGCAATGGATATGGAGATTTATACACCGAGAACACCCACGCACACACATGAACATACACACACATACAGACACATACAAACACATGCACATTCAAACAAACACAAAAGCTCAATGCACAAGCTTTACAAACAATAAAACAGAAGCAAATGAAATTTACCAATACAGTACGATCCTACAGGTCACCGTCATCACTGTTATCTTTCCACTTCAGAAGTTGACTAGACTGCCTCAAGAAAACAGCAAAGCCTCTGAGGAGTACAACATAGAAAAAAAAGGGGAGGGGGGGGGACAGAAGGGACGAATGAGGAGGGATTTTAGTGTCGCAAAAAAAGGTGCGACAAGTTGCACATCAAACACAGCAGAAAACAGAAGCAAAATGAGGAAGCAGAAAACGGAAGCATCACACTGAAGGAGTAAACAGAAAAAAAAGGAGGAAGGAGGGAAATAAGTATGATTCACCAAACTGAAAGCGGAATAAAAACCAGCAAAAAGAAGTGGAAATAAACAAAAAAGAAGACAAGATACAAGTAGGAATCGAGATAGGAAAAGAGGACGGACGAAAACAAAGGAATGACTGAAAAAGAGAGAACGAAAGAGAGAGAAAGAGAGAGAGAGAACGAGAGAGAGAGAACGAGAGAGAGAACGAGTGAGAGAGAGAGAGAGAGAACGAGAGAAAGAGAACGAGAGAGAGAGAGAGAGAGAGAGAGAGAGAGAGAGAGAACGAGAGAGAGAGAGAGAGAACGCGAGAGGGAGAACGAGAGAGAGAGAACGAGAGAGAGGGAGAACGAGAGAGAGAGAGAGAGAAAACGAGAGAACGCGGGAGAACGAGAGAACGAGAGAGAGAGAGAACAAGAGAGAGAGAACGAACAAGAGAAAGAGATGGAGAAAGAAAACGAGAGAGAACGAGAGAGAGAACGAGAGAGAGAGAACGATAGAGAGAGAACGGGAGAGAGAGAACGGGAGAGAGAGAACGAGCGAGAGAGAACGGGAGAGAGAGAACGGGAGAGAGAGAGAACGAGCGAGAGAGAACGGGAGAGAGAGAACGGGAGAGAGAGAACGGGAGAGAGAGAAACGGGAGAGAGAGAACGAGCGAGAGAGAACGAAATGGACTGAACGTGCAACCTATTACAATCTTTATGTACAACCTAAGACGAGGTTGAAAAAAAAAAAAAGAACTAAAACATGCAAATATGAAGAAAAGGCAACCGACGAAAGGAAAGTTGAAGGATGAAGAATAGAAGAAACAGATGCAAGCTTATGCAGGAAGAAACGAAATCTTACAAAGGGCCTAGAACCTACGTTTAAACAACTAAGTCTAGCTAATACTCATCCATTTACACAGTAAGGATACGGATTGACTAAATGTTACTCTATCTAATAGGCATCTAACTTAGTTGGAGCTAGAGCTGAGGGATCTTCTTACCTAAGTTGCAGTCAGAGTAGGTGGAGAAGCTGGTAGAGCGTGACCAGCGAGAAGGAGAAGCGGGAGAAAAAAGGGACGAACAAACCCTAAGGTAGTCTCAGATTCGTCGCAAAAGTAACAGTCTGCTTAAATCAGCTGTTCAAAACGGACATTAGCGCTATCGTAGTCGTATAAGATTGAACGTAGAATCGAAAGGTTTCCAGATCGATTCCTTCTGGTGTGATTCTTTTGATCTTTGCCTAGCGACAAGAAGTACTACTTCGTGTCATACTACAGCATAAGGTAAATTGTAAGTTCTACAAATTTACCGTAATCCCCCGCAGAGTACACCCCCCAAAAGGGGGGTATTTATCAGTACACCCTAGGGTGTACTATGCGGGGGATTACGGTATGTAATTATGCAAAACGCTTCGCAACCCTAAGACGATTTCGTCGCCTCTTGTTTTTTTTTTTTTTTTTTTTTTGCTTTCCTGCTTCTCCCTTGTTTCATGCCTGCCTTTCTTTCCCCATTTCTGCCACTTCACCCCATCAGTTTCAGAATACCCACTGAGTGCAGCCACTTGCTTGTCTCGCCTATGTACTACGTTGGAACTAAAGTGGGGCATCTTATAGGCTGTACATTGGGGGCAGTATGTACCCATTTTGTTCAAAATTTTTGAATAAAGTGGGGTGAATAGTTTTTTGCACATCATTGTAGTCGTATTCTCGTCCGGCAAAGTTTCTTTACACTGCTACTGTTCTGCATATGTGGAAGTTCTATATGGAAGCTATACACTAAGAGATCTGTACACGCCATCATTCAGTTTGCAGCATATTGTGTTCGAGCTGATATCGGATCCATGTCGTTATCGATGGCAAGCTTTGTGGTCGCTGTTGGTGCGTTACTCCCACAGTGCAAGCGACTGCAAGTCGTGCTGCAAGCGCACGTGGTTCGAGAAACTGATCGTTGCGAGGCGTCGAGGTGAGTGGAAGTTGCGAGGAGCGATCTTGCCCAATGCTGACATCGTAATTGCATGTCACGGGCAGTGATTGGAAGTTGTCAGTACAAAATTGCTAAACTGTACAGATAGAACAACACATTCTTTCGCGCTTATAAGGTATTGGATAATTGAACTGCTGGGGAAATAGAGCAAGTAATACTAAATAGGAACGAATTGAGTGTATTTTTCTGCCCAATACTGTCTTGTCCGAAAGTTGCGATTGGTGGTGGCCTTCAAAACCGCAACGTCATCGTCTTTGCACGGGTGCTTCACTGAGGGTGGCTGACGTTGCTTGCCATCCTCCTGGGCGGCTGAAAAATGTTGACTGATGCTGAGGCATTTGTCGGTATGGAAGAGTGTTCTCCGCTCCCGTCGTTCCGTCTCTATTGGCTGCTCTCTCGTTCTGTCAGCACCTGCAACCCAATCCCAACCTCGGCTCCGCTCATCCTCCCCCCCATCGCAGCCCCAACTGGCATCGGCTGGGCAGAAGTGCCAAGATGCGGAAACGTTCCTCCCCCACCCTTTACCATCCCCCTTTCTCCCATGTGATGAGATGAACCTGCCTGGCGATCCCCCCATCAAAATCTTCCCCTTTCAACGTCCACCCTTCGCGCCCTCCCTGGCCTTCCACCTGATACACCCATTTACTGTTTATATCACCATACGCGTTTCTGTCGGAGGTGCTTGTCCTTTTCGCCCGGTGCTTTTAACGTCTGCGAGTCACATTTCCCTGCGTTTTGCCGTCCCTTGCTCCCAAAATGTGGCTATAAATACGTTTTTGCAACTGTAAGCAGGCCTGACCTAATCATACTAATAAATTTGGCCTCGTCTTTAGCGCGAATGCGTGTAACTGTAGTGTTCTGCCACAAATTTTCTTCGACGTTTAGCAATTCAATGCTGAACTGATCACGCGTGTGAATCGATTCTATGTGACATAAACGCATCGCTCCCAACCTTCTATGTGAACGTACCGAGCCGATAGCTCAATCGCGGGTGCATCAAACGAATGATTGGGTGTAGCTTCGTGTGCTGGATGACGGTTGGTCCAGTTTTAGCAGTCCACAGTTCCGAGATTCCCTGCCCGCCTGGCTATCCTACACAGCTTGTCAGAAATTGCGATGGTTTATTTAGCTAAATGAACTCCGCAACTTCAGTCATGATTCGTATGAAGGCAGACTGACACAGAACCTTTTTTAAAAATTCGAACCTGCTTGAGGGACGGTTTTCTGACTGTGGCTGGGTTGTGGAGGGTGGAATTAAAAAACACTACTTCTCCTACTTCCATCTCCCACTTCTCATCTCGTCGTCACTTCTGCTTGCTGCTGCTGCCCTCCTTTCAGGGAAGCCTCCATCCACCTCATCGCCTTCCCGTTTCCTGTCTCCTCAGCATCCCCCGTCCTGCCGCCACCTGTGATGCGAGTGAGTGGGCCCCTGTCCCGCGGCTCACTCTCTCCATCCCATCAGCCGACCGACGCTGCTGCGGCCTGTGAGAGTCGCTCGCAGGCTCCCCGCTCACTCTGAGAGTTCGGCTTTGCGTGCTTCAGTCACCTCCCTAAACAGTGATTGTTCAGAAGGATGGACTTGAGTACTTTTCCTTCCAGCACAGCAAAGTGCAAGTCAGAACAGCCGCTGCTCCCAGAAGCACCCACCCACACAATCGCGATTTGCGCAAGACACGGTTGGCCAACTGGCTCCAGACTGGATAAGAAGCGCCGTGACCGACGCTTGAAGTTTCTCACTCCGACACACGCAGTCTTTCACCGCGGGGTGTTGCTACATACTGCACTACACGACTCATCGAATAGTCGCCACTCCTCTCCGCAGTGCGGGTCCCACTCTTTCCCCACGATTTCCAAAATCTCTCACCGGCCTCCCACCTACCTCGCAGTCTTGCTTTAATCGCACGCAACATTCGGAAACTCGAAGGAGATTAACCCCCGACACGTGCCAATCGCGCCACGTGCTCCCTCAGCGCCCTTCCCAGCCGTATAAAGCCGTCATTTAATATTCTCACGTTGAAAACCTCGAATTGCTGCCGTCGGCGTCAACTGATCACAGAGCAGGCCAACTATTAACAATATTACGGAGACTGAACGCACCGTCGCAATAATCTCGGGAGACGAAGAGACGAAAAGCAAAAAGAAACTGCAAAATTGCGTTTAATTCTTCCACCCTTCGCGACGGAGCGAAGCCTGTCAACCTGGCGACTCTAACTCTTCCCATGGTGCCAGCCAGACTGGGAATATTTCCACCTGCGCCCGACTGGGAGCAACAGCCGCTCGAATCGCCGCAACCCCCGCCACTTCTGTCGGACGTCGCGCCGCCTCCTTCCGCAGCGACTGAGGCGACACCTGCGACTGCGACAGATGACGACGACGACGACAGCATGTTACCACCCGGGTTTCGCTTCCACCCGACGGACGAGGAGCTTCTATGTTACTACCTTCGGCGACGCGTGGACAACCGTCGCATAAGCTTCAATGTGATGGGCGACATCGACTTGTACAAATTCGAACCTTGGGATCTCCCCTCGCGCGCTTCGAGCCCCCTAATGGGAAACGACGAGTGGTTCTTTTTCACGCCGCGCGACCGGAAATATCCGTCCGGACTGCGGTCGAATCGCGCCACGCCTGCGGGTTATTGGAAGGCGACTGGGAAAGACCGGCCCGTGTTCGCCGCGAATCGCGGAGGAGGAGGAGGGGGCTCCAGCAATGGCGGTGGAGGTGGAGGTGGAGGTTCGGGCGCGACGACGGTGATTGGCTTCAAAAAGACGCTCGTGTTTTACCGGTAAGGACGACTCGCGTTCGTCGTGTAACGGGGTTGATTGAAATGAGACCCCTTTCATCGTGTGCCACCCATCCAAACTTTGTACGGTTCAACGTTTGATGCGCTTTTTATTTGGAGCTCGTTTTGTTCAAATTTCGGAAGTTTGGTTTTGTTCAAACCCTTCCCCCCCTGCCTTCCAATTTGATTAGGGTTTCGTGGAGAAAGACGCGAAGTTTAGCTGGTAGTAGCGTCGCATGTCGTTTGAGAGTTCTTATCCAGTCGTAATGTCTCTTGCTTTCACTATGCGACAAGAGTAAAAAATCATAGATTCTCTTTTCCTGTCGTTCCTCTCCGTCCCCCTTTCCCCAATTCCCCCATTCCAATTTTCTTCACAGCGGGCGTGCGCCAGCCGGCGAGAAGACGGACTGGGTGATGCAGGAGTACCGCCTACCCGACAGCTCCGACGACATCGCCAGCCTAATGCTGCCGGCTAGCAGTTCCGCCGGCACCGCTGACGTCACCATCGCCGCGCCGCCGTCCCCGTCCGCGTCGGGCTGGCAGAGCGCAAGCGGCCCGTCGGGAATGACTCTGTCGCAGTGGGTGGTCGTGCGCGTGTACACGCGCGGGGCGCTTCCGCAGCAGGCGCAGCCTGGGCAGCGCAGCGGAAGCAGCGGGGGGCGCCTTACAGCTCCTGGGGGATTGGGTCACGCGCTCCAAGCGCATGCGGAAAAAGCGGCGGGAAAAGCGGAGAAAGTGGGAAAAGCGGAGCTAGAGGAAGAGTCAGAGCAGCAGCGGATGATTTTGGACTCTGGCGGCAGCGGCGGAAGCGGAAGCTTCCCGTTAAGCACTGGGCTAAGCGCGGAGACGGGGAGGATAGGCTCCGTTCCGCAGTCTCCACTCGTTTCCCCGCGTTTACCGCTTCCACAGGTTCACTTTCCCAATAGTCCGCGCCAACCTCCCGCGAGCACGAGCACGACCTCTGCTGTTGCCGCAGCAGCTTCCGCCTCTCCATCCGTCGCTGCTTCCACCGTTGCTTCCGCCAATTCTGGTGCAGGCGGAAGCGGAATTACCCCAGTCGGATCCCTCGGGCCTGCGCCTGGTTCAGCTCTCAACAGCCTTCGGAAACTTTTTTCTGCCCGATCGTCTCTATCCGCGCCCCTGCCCGTGCTTCAGAGCGCAGCGGCGCAAGCTCTCAAGAAAGGGCATCGCGGAATTGACAGGGGAATCACTGTAGCTATCGAAGATGTCTCTAACCAATCAGGAAGCGCTTTGAAAGCCATTTCTGGTCTCACGAATCAATTTGGAGGAGGTTCGGGACCTACTGGTTCGGAAACTCTGGCGAACCCGTCAAATTCGAGACTGTTGAGCCTGACGCGGTTCAACTCGCCAGCAATCCCAAGGGGCAATTCTTGCCCGTCTGACATATCTGCAGGCCTGGGTTCGAATCTTGACGGACGCATTTCAACACTGGCAAGAGCACAAAGCTTGGCACAATCCGCTGTGATGGAGGACGCAGGCGAAGGGGAAGAGGAGAGCCAGGGGCAGGTTGCGGGGACCCACCGTAGCACAGATACGGAGGGAAGCGGGCAGAAACAGGGGCAGAAAACCGGGCAGGAAATCTGGCAGGAAAGCGGGGAGGGAGTTGGAGGAATCGAATCATCAGAGGCATTTTCGAAGCTTCTTCCGGAATATGTACCAGGACAGAGAGACACGAATGGGCCTGCGAGTTTACTCTCCTGGCAGACAGACCCGGCAGCCATGGCAAGTGTTTTTCCCGCCTGCCAGGAACAGCAGATGCAGCAGAGCGAGGATGCACAAGGGACAGGGCGGCGTGAGGGGACTCAGGAGACTCAAGAGATGCATGGAGAAGAGAGAGCGGACGCTCAGGCTGCTGCTGGGGAAGCGTCTGAGAAGCAGCAGAACCAGGTCCAGCAACATGAGCAGCAGGCGAGACTGATGCTACGCCGCCTGCAGCGGTCAAACGCTGCCGAGATTGAGCCTCTGGAGGACCTGATTTCCCCACAGAACCCTTCAAGCCAGCGCCTGCAGCAGCCGCATCAACAAATCCAGCAGGAGCAACAGCAGCCCACAATCTCTCCTGCTCTGACCCCAGGCCTTGAAACCCCACCCGCAGCAACCATTCCCCTCCCTGACCCGTTTCTGGCTGTGCCGCAGCTGCCAACCCCGTCCTCCACACTGACGACTCCTGGCATGCCTCGGGATCTTCTCGGACTTGAAACTCTAATGATGCCTATGGACCTCACTGCTTCTGGCTGGTGGGCTGCTTCGGATGCTGCTGCTGCGGCTGCCGTTGCTGTTGCTCCTGCCAGCGCTGCTGCTGCTGCTGCTGGTGCTGCCGCCGGTGCTGCTTCTGCTGCTGGTGATATCGCTGTTGCTGCTGGTAATGCTGTGGCTGCGGTTGCTGATACAAGTTCTGCTGCTGGTAACCCCTCACCTTTTTCCGCCATGGGCCCTGGTGTTGGAGGTGGTAATTTCGGAATTGGTAACCTTGGGGGATACAGTGGTTTTTCAGCGTTTGGCAATGGCAGCGGGCACTTGTCTTTTTTCGACAGCCCGTTCAGGTTCGGCACTCCCGCTCCCACAGGGGCTGATGGTGGGACTGCCAACCCCTGGACGGCTGCCGTTGTGGCTGCTGCTGTGGGTGATGCTGCTGCTGCTGGTAATCCTGGTGGTGCCGCTGCTGCCGCTGCTGCTGCTGCTGGTGCTGCTGGTGCTTGTGCTAATGCTGGTGTTGGTGCTGGTGCTACTGGTGCCACTGGCCATGCTTCGCAGGCTGATTCGAGAGGCCGGTTTCGAGAGAGCGAGTGCGTCGTGCAGGCCAGTGGCAGCGGCAGTGAGAGTGGCAGTGAGCTGAGTTCCCCGTGCACTAACACCACTCACACCCTCCCCACTGTCTCTGCAAGCGATGGTGAATTCGTAGGGGAAGTGGCCGGCCCTGCTGCTGCTCCTGCTGCTCAGTCATTTGCTCCTGCAGAGGCAGGCCGTGGAGATGTAGTGGCAGTCCGTTTTTCCGCTGGCAATGGTACTGCTGAGGTAGACCTTGTAGCACCCCAGCTCCCACATCAGCAGAGCCTGCTACAGCAGCAGCAACAGGGGCAGCAGCAGCAGCAGCATCATCTAACCGCTACTGCTGCAGCAGCGATTGCATCAGACCGTTTTTCCATGCTCTCCTCTCCTCTTTTACCGCCCGAGATGATGTCAGAGCTCACCGAGCTGCTTCTACGCTCAGCAGTTGCCCAGCCTAGTGACTCAGGCTCGGGCCCAGCAGGGTCGGAAGCATGCTCGGTGCAAGTGTGCAGTGAAGGGAAGGATGGTGTTGCAGGACAAATCAGTCGGCAGTTTCAGCCACCATTATGGTCGACCAAGGCACAGCAGCAGCAGCAGCAGCGCCAGCAGGGACAAGGGCAGGAGAAGCATGGAGGACAAGGAGGGAAGCAGGTTCGGTCTCCCAAGCGAAGTCGAGGGGAGGGGGAGTTTGAGGGGCCGATAATGATGGAAGCAGGTGCTGCTGCTGATGGGAGTTCCATGGAGGCAAGCCATTTGTCAATGGAGGGTGTGGTGGTTCGGCCCTTGTCCAAGCGAAGGAGCTTTGTTGCGGAGGAGATTGAGGATGGTTCGGGTGGTTTGAGTGCAGTGAAGGAGATTCCGGTGGGAGAGGAGGGAAGTGTTGGGGAGAACTCGCAGCCTGATATTCTCAACATGCTGAAACAGATCTTGGGGTGAAGGGTACATGTGTGCCGATGTTTCTGTGACCAAGTCCAGTACTAGGTGCTTGTTTCATCTTGTGTGCATATTCCTTAGTTTTCCTTGCGTTCACCTCTTTTTTTGACCCCCTGTTTCTGTTTCAACTAGCTTAAGATCACATATTTATGAAAGCCTTTTGTATTCCCCTAGTACTTATGAGCTAAACTTCAAACTCCCTACCTAATCTCTCTGGTTGATTTGTAATTGTCTAAGATTGTTAGTTGGAGAAAGAATCTGTTCTTGTAATGCGAGGTTCGGAGCCATCGAAGCTGAACAAACTAAATCCGTTTTGGGAAATGATCAAAGAGTGGCCGTACAGTGCCAGAGCGGTGATCGACCAGCGGCCGAGAGGGCCGAGAACTGACCAAACCGCTGCGCGAGGGGGAATTAACAGAGAGGTTCGTCATGGCTTGCATTTTCGCTCACACCTCAATATTCCTAGGATATCGTAAATGAAACATTTTTTCATCCGGTAGCGTCGTTTAGCGAGCCAGGTAGCGCTACCGGCGGTACCGACGCTACCGGGAAATGTTAGGGCAGCCAAGAAAAAACTAAAACCAATAGGCAGTCTGGAAGCGTTTTCGGGATGGATCAACCCTAAACACGGGAACCCGCCTGGTGTTTAGGGTTGATGCCTCCCGAGTCGCATCCATTTCCGAACGGGTTTTATTATTTATGTCAGCTAAAGTGATGTATTTGTTTTAGAAAAAAAACATAACATGACGAAACCTACTTGAAGAGGAATGCGACGCAAGCTTCGTATTAGGCGGCGGTCATAACCATGAAATCATAATTGAACTGAGAAAGTTCAGCAATCAGTAATTGCCTTCTTTTTTGGTTCGGATTCTCGGCCCAGCCACTTTGGCAGCCCCGGGGTATATCCGACGGTTGGGATCAACCTAGCCCTAATTAGGTCACCTCCCTGCTATTGTTCGGCCCTTAATTGATCTTTTCCCATCCGTTTTTCCCAGCATTCGACAAACGTCGCCACCTTACTTGCCGCGTCGCTATAGCGCGCATGTCGTCGTGGTGTGATGGCTCACCTCACCCCCACCTCTCCAGACCTCGCTGGTTCGGAAGTGATGTGGGTTAGGCAGAATACTTACTTGAACTTCGCTTTTAAGAAAAATCTTGTGGTGCTGGCTCTCCACCTTTTCGTTACCTTCCACGCCTCACCACCACCAGCAAAGCCAGGCCAGCTACCTTATCGTTACCTTCCAGCCAGTGGAAGCACAGTGCACTCCTTTGCCCGCACCGCCTTCCCAACCTTCCCTCCCACCTCCTCGATGTTCTCGTGCTTTCTCGTTCACAACCCGAACCCACACCTAGTCATTACCTAATCTCGGCTTGTTACCACATTTCCCTCATCGTCTAAGAAGGGCCTCCGTTTTCATGGTGCAGCGATGATTCTAGTAGTAATGTCACCTATAGAAGCCCATTCGATGCCGCGTTGAGGTCTCCTTGGTCCTGTTTTGTTTGCTCCCGTCGTCCTCCTTGTTACCTCGTCGCTCTTTCGGCTGCGATTTTTCTTTCTGCCATGTCAGACCCACATCACGCGTCGGTTTTCGCAGCGGTACCAATTGCTACAGCATCCGAAGCGACAGCCGATACAGCCGCACCGACGGCGACGGCAGTCGAGCCAACTTATCTTTTGGCTCGCATCAGTTCGCGAGATGAAGCATCGTTATTGTCTGCTCCGATAATAAGTAGATCTGAAGCTTGGGTAACGAATAGCGAGACTGTTAGGGATAGTGCTAGGAACACTACTAGGGACTCGTCTGCTGATGTTCACTTAGCTACTAGTAGCGACACGCTAGAATCTCGCATCTCCGAGCCTGAGGCTCGGCAAAGTGGACAAGTCAGCGATCCTTCTTCGGAGGACATCCAGGGGTTCCGAGCCTCCCGTCTCGGTAGTACAGACAGGCTCGGCGATGCGGCTCTGGCAGAGTCCCTGTTGGAGGAGGGTCGGCTCGGACACAGTTGCAGTTCCGACCGGCTTTTAGCTGACGACCGGCTTTTAGTTGAGTGCCGGTTCTGCCGCGAAGAAGAGTACCTATCCCCAAAAGATCTCGGGCTTAAAATCAACACTGGCGGGGCGGGGGCGGGGGCGGGGGCGGGGGCGGAGGGGGGTGCGGGGGCAAGGGGCGAGCGGGGAGCGCCGGAGAGCCTTGACGAATTTCCGAGAGGGGAGGCGGCGGCGGCGGAGGGGGGCGAGAAGGCGCGCGGGGCGGAGGCGCGTGGAGCGGAAGCGCGACGGGCGGAGACGCGGGGGGCGCGGATGGTGAAGCCGTGCGCGTGCGGGGGCACGATGGGGCGCGTGCATCTGCGGTGCCTCCAGCAGTGGATCGAGCGGCGGCGAATGGACGGCTGCGATCACGACGCGCTCACGTGCGAAGTGTGCCGCTCGCCGTACCGCCTCCGCATTCACGAGAGTGAGTCGCGCAACAGTACCCCCTTTCTCTCATCTTCCCCATGCTTCCCCCATTTTTCCCTGCTCTTTTCCTCCTCTCCGACATTCACCCCATCCGCCCACGCCCCCCCCCCCACCCCCATCCGCCCGCCCACCCCTCTCCCCCACCCTCTCCCCACCCTCTCCCCCACTCTCCCCTTCTCCACCCCTCCCCCCACCCCCCCTTTTTCCTCCCCCGCCCTCCACTTATCAGTTTTTCCGCATTTCCCCGTTCCTCATTGCTCCCTTATCAGTAACGCCTTTCCCACCGTTTATCCCCCATCCTCCTTGCCTTTCCCCTTCCCCCCTGTTTATTCCCCCTTGCTCATATGCGTCAATTTCCTTCAACGCTGAATTCTGCACCATCTGCGCCACCCTCGCCTCCATGGTCTTCCTCTTCGCTCAATCCCCCCCCCCCCCTCTTTTGCACCTTTGCCCCTTCCCCGTTCGTTCCTTTCCCCCCTTTTCCCCGCTGTTCCCCTCCAACGACAGGGCTTGACCTCACATGGGAGCGCGCGCCTGTGCTCGCTTTTATGCTGAATTCTGCACCATCCGGCCCACCCTCGCCTCCATGGTCTTCCTTTTCGCACAATCACCCTTCCGCTGTCCCCCTCCCCCCCCTTCCCCTTTGCCCCTTCCCCATTCGTTCCTTTTCCCCATTTTCCCCGCTGTTCCTGTCCAATGACAGGGCTAGACCTAACTTGGGAACGCCTGTGTTCGTATGCGTCCATCTCCTTTTATGCCGAATTCTGCACCATCTGTGCCACCCTCGCCTCCATGGTCTTCCTCTTCTTCCTCATTGTCATCGGCGACAGTGACGAGGTGTGTGGAGGGGTGGGAAGTGGTGGAGAGGGGTGAGAAGGGGTGGAGTGGGGTATAGTGCTGTACGGATGATTCACAGTTACGAAATGGCCACCATCTGTGCCACCCTCGCAGCCATGGTCTTCCTCTTCTTCCTCATTGTCATAGGCGACAGGTGTGTAGAACGGTGCAGAGGGTTGGAAAGTGGTGGGAAGGGGTGAAGAGAGGTGGTGGGGTACAGTGTGGGTATGGTTGATCATGAGGCACGGGGTGACCAGTAACAACCGTCTGTGCCACCCTCGCCTCCATGGTCTTCCTCTTCTTCCTCATCGTAGTTGGGGACAGTGATGAGGTGTGTAGAACGGTGGAGAGGGGTGAAAGGTGTGGGGGTTGGGAGAGGGGACACGCCACCATCTGTGCCACCCTCGCCTCCATGCTCTTCCTCTTCTTCCTCATCGTCATTGGCGACAATTATGAGGTGTGTAGAGGGGTGGAGAAGGGGTGGAGGGGGGTGGAAAGGGGTGGGCAGGGTTGGAAAGGGCAGGTGTTGTGTACAGAGCCCATTATCATCGTCGTCATCGATTTTGTTCGTTTGGTTTCAAGTCGATGCTCATGCAACTTGTGCCTTTCACTCTTTCTGCCCATTTGTGTGTGTGAGGGGGGAGGGGGGGTGGGAGTGCAACTGTGTGTGCATGTGTGTGTGTGTGTGTGTGTGTAAGTGTGCACGTGTGTGCATGTGTGTGTGTGTGTAAGTGTGCACGTGTGTGCATGTGTGTGTGTGTGTGTGTATGTGTGCATGTGAGTGTGTGTATGTGTGTGTGCGCGCGCGCGCATGTGTGCGTGTGTGTGAATGTGTGCACTCACAGGAGGGTAGGGAGCTGAGTCTATTCGCAGCAGTGGTGGTGGCAGCATGTGTGATCACCCTTGGCATTCTCACTCTCTTCAAGGTAACCCTGTTACCAGCCACTGCTACCACTTGCACATCACTTGCTCTTCTCAAGGTAACCGGGTTACCATACAATATGTCACACTCACTGTTGCCTTAGCGCGATTGTAACACTTTCACAACACATGTGATCTCCCGCCTGCATTTCTCACTCCACCCTCCAACCCCCATCCCTTCTCTCTGTGATCCCCTTCCCATCCTGCCCTCCTGCCCCACCCATGCACTATTCCCTCACTGTTTCATCTTCTCGTCTCCCCCCAGGTCACCTCCAGGTGGCGTCAAGCCATCTCAGTGCCGCTCTTGACTCTTGACCACCTCCTCTCCCTTTCCCCCGCACCTCACTCTCGCTTACTCTCTCCCTTTTCTCACTCTCTCCCTTTTCTCACTCTCTCCCTCTCTCCTCTTCCCCCTCCCATCCCACCAGGTCACCTCAAGGTGGCGTCAAGCCATCTCAGTGCCGCTGCTGTCGCCCAGGGGACCTCTCTCCCCACCCATACCCTCGTCGCCCCGCCTCTCATCATAACGGCACAATATCAAGCCATTACTGTGACGCTGCTGCAGAGTCCTCTCTCCCCACCCATGCTCTCCTCTCCTCTACTCTCCTCTCCTCTCCTCCCCTTTCCTCTCCTCTCCTCTCCTCTCCTCACCTCTCCTCTCCTCTCCTCTCCCCCCTTCCCTCCCTTCCTCTCCCCTCTTCTGTCCCCTCCTCCCCTTGCCTATCCTCTCCTCTCTTCTCCTATCCTCTCCTCTCCTCTCCTCTCTTCTCTCTCCTCATCTCCTCTCTTTTCCTCTCTTCTCTGCACTCTCCAATCCTCTCTTTCCTTCCCCTCTCTCGTAACACTCACCAGGATCTTGTGTGGCTCTCAAAATCCCTGTTAATGCCGCTCTATGTGCTGCAATTTTTTTGATTAGTTCTTGCAATTAAAATAGCGCTCGTGGCCCAAAACTTACAGCATCATGTTCGTGCCACACCCACATCCAATGTAGATACATGGGGCATTGCTGTTCATGGATTTTTGCTATGGGCTGGTCTAATAGCCATAAGCATCAGCTTACAAGAGTGATGGGGTGGACGAGAATGACGTTTGGGTCGGCCTCTACGATTATATGTGTGATGTATCAAGTGTAGATGGATGCTGAGAGGAATGGTGTTATAGGCTATTTGGCAGGGATAAAATGGCAACATCTCATCCCATCGGTGCACGCTCAACACATGGATGCGTGCTTCTTGTCGATGTAGACATACTTCACGTGTTTATCAAGCCCCTGTTGGCATGCCGAAGACGGAGCACCATGTAAAACAGTCACAAACATCAGTTACGAATGTGGTTATGTTGCAATGTCCTGTATAGTAAGGCTTGTATAAAAAAGATTGGAGCACAAAACATGAACATTTTACTAGAGATATCAAAACTGTAAGTCACTTTTACCAAATTCTATGGTCAGTCGACCTAGCGAACTAATATTTTATGCACAGCGCGTACACCATTGCCATCGTGCACAACCATCTTACCCACCAAACGAGACGCGGTCGTGAAAATTGTGCACTGTACACGTCCAAGTTTCGCGTACCGACACAGTCGTCGCTGTCTGGAGTTCACAGTTGTCTGAAAGGCCACTCTGTTTGGAGGGCGGAGGGTGCGTTTCTATATCGTGTCAGACTTCAGGTCGAAGCTTCGGAAGACACAAAGTGACTCGGCTTGTGTCTTCCAAACCTAAATTTGCCAGCATTCCGAGTCCCTTTGGGTCTTCCCAACCTCAACTTCGTGTCTGGCTTCGGTCTGACACGGGATAGAAACGCACCCTGATTCTAGAAAGGCCCTTTTTACTTGACCGTCACCTTTATTGCACAAAAATATGGGTAATGCGTCCAAACGGCCCACCTAGAATGGGGCTATACAGGTGCTCATCTGGGAGTGGATACAACAACCTCGTTACCCAGCGAGGCGCGTAAACAAATGGGTAGGCGGGTCACCACTGACAGCCGGGGTATACCAAGGGGGTTTCCCCAACCTTCACCTTAACCTTTACCAAACGGCTTACCTAAACTACTGTACAGACAATAATTGGCTAAAAGAATTAGAGAAACATATGAGCGAAATATTGGAGATAATATTGATGCGCTTCAAGGGTGTTTGGGTTGGGAGTGATTAGCACTTTGTTGAGAGGCAAAAACTAGAGCTTACGTTCTTTAACAACAGCTTACCCAAAAAATATACCATACTAGCCTATTTGCGAATGTATTGCTGAATTGTCCTTTGAGGGGGTGGCAACTAGTTGCTTTTGTCAGATTACTATAGCTTATACATGTTGTAGGCTGTAGTGGGGTAGCACATAAGGGGTACAACCCAATTAGGGTTGGTACTTGTACTGTTTTCATTTCATAGTTGATCATTCCTGTTCCTTACTTTCACATGGTATAGAGCGGGTTCCCTGTGGGAACTTCGCCTAGGGCCCACCGAAGCGCGCCCCGAGGCGCGCGATCGTTTTTTTTTGCGACCCCCCGAGTCGCCCTTCCCCACGCGGCCCCGCTGCCCTTCACGCAGCCCCGCCGCCCTTCCTAGCGGTCCCGCCCACCCTTCGAGCGGCCCCGCCTCTCCTTCGCGGCCCCGCCGTCTAGTCGCGGCCCCACCACCTCCTCGCGGCCCCACTACGACGCGGCCCCGCCGCCTGCTCGGACGCGGCCCCGCCGCCTGCTCCGACGCGGCCCCGCCGCCCGCTACGAAGCGGCCCCGCCGCCTGCTCAGACGCGGCCACGCCGCCTGCTCAACCGCGGCCCCGCCGCCCGCTACGACGCGGCCTCCGCCGCCTGCTCAGCCGCGGCCCCGCCGCCCTCTACGGCGCGGCCTCCGCCGCCTGCTCAGCCGCGGCCCCGCCGCCCGCTACTACGCGGCCCCGCCGCCGGCTCAGTCGCGGGTGCTCCCAGCGGCCCGCCGCTGCACCTCTGCCGGCTCCGCCGTCTCCTGTCCCGGCCCCGCCGTCCCCTATCCCGGCCCCGCCGCTGCTCCCTGACGGCCCGCCGCTACGCCCTGACGGCCCGCCGCTGCACCTGTCCCGGCTCCGCCGCTGCACCCTGACGGCCCCGCCGTCCCCTGTCCCGGCCCCACCGCTGCACCCTGACGGCCCCGCCGTCCCTTGTCCCGGCCCCGCCACTACACTGCAGCCGAGCCGCCCAGCAGCAGCCGGACCGCCCAGCAGCAGCCGAGCCGCCCAGCAGCAGCCGAGCCGCCCAGCAGCAGCCGAGCCGCCCAGCAGCAGCCGAGCCGCCCAGCAGCAGCCGAACCGCCCAGCAGCAGCCGAGCCGCCCAGCAGCAGCCGAGCCGCCCGGTACCCGAGCCGCCCGAGCCGCCCGAGCCGCCCGAGCCGCCCGATCCGCCCGAGCCGCCCGAGCCGCCCGAGCCGCCCGAGCAGCCCGAGCCGCCTGCTGCTGACCTACCCGACTCTCCTAGCCCGGTGAGACTTTCAGCTGCTGCCATGGCCACCCCCAATGTTCTTACTTTTGACGCTGAGGGGAGGGCCATTGACTTTGCCGTCTGGATCGAAGACCTGCAGCTGTACTTACTGTGTGATGCGATAGATGAGGTCTCTCTCTTTGACTTTGTCTCTGGCGCTGTCCCTGCCCCGCCTGCTGATGCTGACTCTGCCGTTCGCTCCAAGTGGGCGACCCGCGATGCTGCTGCACGTCTTGCTGTGCGTCGCCACCTCCCTTCCTCTGAGCGTGCCCACTTTAGTCAGTGCAAGACCGCTCAGGCCTTGTACGACGCTGTAGTTGCACGCTACTCCTCCCCTTCCTCCGCTACCCTTAGCCGCCTCATGCTACCGTTTCTCTTCCCTGACCTCGCTTCCTTTCCCACTGTTGCTGACCTCGTTACCCACCTCCGCGCTAGTGACACCCGCTACCGCGCTGCCCTTCCTGCTGAGTTCCGCGCTGCGAACCCTCCTCCCATGTACATCACTCTCTACTTTCTCGTCACCCGTCTCCCTGAGTCCCTTCGTGTCGTTAGGGACCAGTTTCTCTCTGTCTGTCCCACCACTCTCACTGTCGACCTCCTTGAGGAGTCCCTGCTAGCGGCTGAGAAGAGTATAGTCGCTGTAGGGGCCTCTCGGGGTGACCCTCGCACCCCCATCTTTGAGGGGTGTGGTCCTTCCCCCCTGCTGCCCTCTGTCGCCTCTGCCGCTGCGGCCGACCTCGCTGGTTTTGAGTCGGTCGGCGCGGCGTCTGCCCCCAGCGGCAGACGCCGCTCTGGCAAGGGCAAGGGGGGCAAGGGAGCGGGTGGAGCTAGAGGGGGCGGTGGAGGAGGCGGTGGGGGTGGAGGGGGGAGTGGGGGTGGCGGTGGGGGTGGTGGCGGGAGTGGAGGTACTGGTGGCGGCGGTGGAGGCGGAGGTGGCGGCGGAGGTGGTAGCGGAGGAGGCGGTGGGAGCGGTGGGGGCGACGGTCCTGGTGGGGGAGGTGGCGGTGGAGACGGGGGTGGCGGTGGAGGCGGGGGTGGCGGTGGAGGCGGGGGTCGGAGTGGCTCGTCCCAGCGGAGCAGCTCTGGGGGTGGTCAGCGCCAGCAGCAGCAGCAGCAGCAGCCGCAGCAGCAGCCGCAGCAGCAGCAGCGCTCTCGCACCGTCCCCGGCCCTCAGCAGCTCCGTGAGTGGTACTTGCAGCGTCAGCGCGGTGGTGCGCTTGGTCCCTGCCCCTACGTTCTTCGCACTGGTGACCGTGCAGGGGAGAGGTGTGGAGGCGCCCACACAGCCCGTCGCTGCTTTGGCCGCCTGACCGACGCCTGGCGTCAGCAGTTTCCGGAGGCCGCTGAGATCCCCCGCTGGGGAGAGCTGTCTAGGGCTGGTGTAGCTATTTATGATCTTGACTTTGATGCTATTCTCTCTGCTATGTATGCTGTGACTGGTAGTGATGAGGATGACTGTTACCGGTGTTTCCCGCCCGACCCGGGCATTGGTACTGCCGCGTCAGGTACTAGTGAGGCTGCTGCTCTAGGTGCCAGTGCGTCTGTGCTCTCAGGTACTGGTGAGTCCGCCCTCTCAGGTACTGTGTCGGCTTCGGCCTCTCACACCTTCACCCTTGACTCTGGGGCGTCTCGCTCCTTCTTTAGGGACCGCACCACTCTCACGCCGCTGAGTCGGCCTGTTGCGGTGTCCCTGGCTGACCCCTCTGGGGGGCCTGTCCTGTCTCGCTTCTCCACTGTCCTCCCGTGTCCGGCGGCCCCCTCTGGCACCCTGACTGGTCTCTACCTCCCCTCGTTCTCGACGAACTTGGTGAGTGGTGCTGACCTCCAGGATGCGGGTGTCCACCAGTTCACCCCTGCTCGTCAGCGGGTGACCCACTGCACGGAGGCGGATACAGGTCGCCACCTGGCTACGTTTACACGTCGGCCAGGGTCGAGCCTGTACACACTGACCACTGCTTCTCCTCCAGGTACTGCGTCTGGTAGGGTCCCTTCGTCTGGTCAGGTGTTTGCTGCAGCGTCCAGGTCTGGTCCTGAGTCTGCCCCCTGTTCGTGTCGTCGTCTGTCTCACGAG